AATAGGTTTAGAAGGTCAGAGGGTAGCGGTGATTCATTCAGCATGTTACCATGCCCCTTTTGATATAAGAACTGGTCAGATTATGTAGCCATTCCGCCAATAACCTTTCGTGTTTCTGTAAGAGACATGGTGTGTTACCTCTGCAGAAATTGAACATGTTAATTCACATTCAAGAACAAAATTGCTTAAGAAGATGGCTGTCTTCTGGAATGTTGCGCCGTGTGGTCTGGTAAACATTGGCGCATACTGCCTCCATCGTCACGGTGATGACGCATAATAATTGATTCAGTAAGTACGTCTGTAACGTCGGTCACTACCTACCAGGCGACGTGGCACAACTTCCCACAAGACAACCATCTTCATACTCGTCTCCATGACAACAGAATATGTTGTCTGTGGTTCCCCTACAGTGGCATTGGTGGTGCATGGGATAAATTACAAATGAAGAAAATGTTTTAAACAGATCGTTGAATATATCAGAACTGTGACAGAAATTAAGCAACAAATGGAATAAACAAACGATGTTTGTGGTTAAATCGAAATAGGCATGTAGCACGCATATATTTTCTTCTCATTTTTTATGTTTGTCTTTCTACCTGTATTTTCTTTTGTTAGTTGACTCTCACTGTCTTCCTAATGTTATCAGGTGGTTTTGAAACTTTGTGTTGTTTGTTGCCTACGATTTAGGAGCTGCAACTTGTTTTGCTTCATTGCCCGGCAGTTTCTTCGGGTAAGCAGCCATTCAGGATCTGAGGCTAGCAATCTTTGAGCGTATCAGCGTACGACTTCCAGTCTGTCTTGATGCCGTCCCACGTGGTCGAAAGCGATGAAGCACAAAATTACTGTAGAAGAAGATAACGGTCGATGAAAACTGTAGGGTATAAAATTCTGGTGTCAAGGGTCAAATCAGTACTCTTCTGTAATGACCCCTCAACCCCACCTCTACGCAAGTTGATATCTAGGCTAACTCAAGCCTAATCTGTAAGAATTAAAATTACAACTTAGCCGTGGGAGTCATAAACCAAGCGTTCAAGCCCAGTTTAGTTCAGAAGCCGAAGAGAACTGGAGATAGCAAGGCATTGGCACGATCCATGTGGACTCCGTGCAGACGAGATGAAAGTAGAAATAATATTCATGCTAGCGACTGGGTGTACTCGGTGAGATTCCAGTTTCTGACGGCGTCCGATACGAAAATGACTGTCCTCTGGGATTCTGCGACGCGTGGCGTGGTACAAATTGACAGGCGTTTCAGAGGTGATTACTACTTCCATCATCAGGGCGATTCCTGGTGATGGAAGCAATAAGCGTTTCCGAAACGCCGGTCAGTTTTTTTTACCAGACTACAATACACAATGTCACAGAAGACGGGAGTTGAGATACGCTCTTCGAATAATCCAGAATTAAATTTAAAATTCTACGTTACCAACCAGACGGATGAAAATTTTGGGAAGAACCTGCAAGAGTTGGCATCAGACCTTATCAGGCCGCTGAGTTGAAGTGTGCCTGAGGACTTGTCCTGACTGGTAGGCTAATTTCCTTCCTCTTTTTTTTTAGACTTTGTCGGCGTAATTCTTTGGTCGTACCATCAAATAGACCATAATGATTTACTTCCACAGCCTTTGAAATTCATTGTTCAGATGAATCTATTACTATATGACGCTGTGTAACTAATGCTGTTGAAAAGGCGTCCCTAAGTAAACCAAGAGGTTTGTAAATATTATGAAAGACGGACTTAACATGAAAGGCATGCCATGTTGGGCAACTTCTCAAATTGTGTGACGCGAGAAGGGAATCGAGTATGTAACATGACGAACAGCGAAAAGTTAATTTGCTTGCAGTACAGACACGTAAACCAACGAACAACCCAAAAAAAAGTGTTCTTCCCCTCCTCGAAATAAACTTAGAAATGCATTATAAACTCTCCGTTAACAATGAATTTAACATCTAAAGCATGACTTATTATAATCGTGAACATGGATCCCTTTGTTAAATAAATACAGGCTTAAGAAATGTGAAAATAAGCCATGGGAGACAGAAGGAGGCCTCTTCTCCGGAACTAACAACAGGCATCGCTGAGAGACGTGCTGACACGCGAGTGTGACCTCTGAACCCTGACCGAACAGAGGCGATATCATGGCGTAGACGAGCAGACAATATGTGGCAACGATTTCAGTCTTCAAGAAATTAACTTGACTTCACGTGAATAGATACATTGATTAAAAATATGGCGTGCAGTGGAAGTTTGTCGGAGAGTGTGTGGCGTTCCATCGAAGTCTTCGACGTGAGTTATGGAGGATTAAACGTCACTACCTGTTCCCAAGCCCCACATTTATAATCAGTCTCTTTCAATTTCTTCTTCGGACACTCGTGGTAGATGAGAAATTCACACAAAAATTTAGTCTATAAATGTTCTGGTGTCTCTAGCGTTGATGGAAGAACAATATTAAAACAGATTGTTGGAAAACAGTATTTGATGGTGTGGACTGAATTCGTCTGACTGAGAATAGCGATCAGTGGCTGTTCTTGTGAACACTGAAATGATCTTTCGGATTTCGTAGGCGGGAAGTTTTTTGACCAGATTGTCTGTCAGCTTTCGGACGGTCGTCTATTGTGTGGAAAGAGGAGTTAAGTAAAATATATTAGGAAAGTGGTCTGGGTCACACTGTTCATTAAATTGCATTCTATCTGAACTTATCACCGGTTAAGTCTTTTGTGTAATAAAGTCCTTAAGCTATGCTTCCATTGTTTGAGCAAAGTCGTCTATCTTTTTTCGACTCGAAGGGCTATATTACTTTGTTTTTCTCGTGAAAGGCATCTTAAAATCTGTTAGTTGATTACACTTCGCCTACTTTTCCATTAACAGGTCTGGCATTCTGTGATTGTTTGTCGTTTTTTTGACTTTGTATTTCGACATTGGAAATTTTGCCATGGATCTTAGGGCGTCGGTATTACTGATCTGCATCTCCGAGTTTGGTCTTTGGGAATAATGTCTTCTTTTTTTTCTTCTGAATTTTGGTTTTCTGCTTGACTTTCGACTTTGGTATTTTGAGTTTTGTTTTGACTTTGTTTCTGTATTTTTCGACTTTTACTTTCGTTTCTTAATTTTTGTTTTTTGCTTTTGACTTTGGTCTTTGACGTTTTACTCTGGATTTGGATTTTCGGTTTTCGATTTTTTCTTTCTTTGATGTTCGACTTTATAATGTTTTCTTCTCGTTTTGCTTTTCTTCGACTCGTTTCTTGGTTTTTGTCTTGTCCGCTTTTACTGCTGTGTTTCTGGATTTTTGTTCCAGTACTTTAAGTGATGGGAAATTTTAATATTTCCAACCTGTAAACTCCCTGCCTTTGAAGCATTCTGTATCACCGAAAATTAAAAAGTATCCAATACAATGCATAATTAGGCGTTCCCGCCTTCTGAAGCAACGTGGATGTTACGAAGAGAATTAAGAAGTTCCCGGGCCAACTTCTCACGAGGCAGGCATACTAAGCAACTGT